GCAAGGACCAAGACAAGGAGGAAAGGAGAAGACAAGAGACGGGTGTGCTGAGAAAGGGTAGAGTCTGAAAACTGCTGTTTTCTCACTGAGACAAGTGGCACTCACTGAAGTGGTAGGCATTCAGTATTTAACATTGTTTTTAGCACTCCATGCATTACTAAGTGCCAACTGTATGTACCTGCATTCAATAAGAACTTTTTGTTTGTGCACCTTCCTGGCTGGTTTCTATAGTGGTGTTTTATAATAGTAATCTCCCAAAAGACCTTTCTATTTTTATTTGTCACTATTTCCAAGTGTGGATCTGACACACAAAAACCAGAGGTGCCAAGACTGGCACCTAGTTTGAGTAGGAAAGAACCTGCTTTTTCACAACACTCCTTGTTTTAACAGGCATTTAGATTTTCAGTACAGAACTCCTACTACCTGAATGGAACTCAGCCCTACTATGGATCAGATTCACCTGGATACAGAAGGTAAACCATTTCTTCAAATAAACATCCAACAAAGCCAGAAACACACAGAAAAAAAAAAAAATCTTTGACTGTGAATGGCATGAGTCCACTAACTTGCTTCTTCTTTTTTTTAAGATTTTTTTTTTCTAGATTAAGTGAAAAAGCATGAACAAAGAAAGTCAGCAATTTTTGTGCACAACATCAGTCACAAACGAGGTGTCACTCTTCTCTAGCAGGGTCTACCTTTCACACCCTGACATCCAAGCCAGCTGACCAGGAAGGCATCAGCCATTTAACTGGTTCATATCTTTCAGGTTGTAATTTGGTTTTGAAAAGGACAAAATGAAAAAGAGAGTGTTCTTCACCCTGGTGTTTACACAGCCACCAAACCCAGGATATCAGCAACACAGAAGCAGCAGCTGATGTTAAACTCATGCAGGAAAGACAAACTACTACTTTCATGACACACATTTTCACAGGACAGTATTTTTTACTTCTTAAATATGCAAAAAAAACCAAATGAGTGTTTTAGCATGTCATCCCTCTTATCTTAGTATCTTTCTAGAAACATGTATTTTTTTTCTAAGGATCAATTTCCTCATTAGGTCACAGTACAGAAAATAACTCAGAAAAAAGTTTTGCCTTTAATTCTTTGATCATCATATCTTAAAAGATCTTCACTCCCCTATTAAAAACATTAAAATACTAAGTCTTTATTCCTAATGTCTTATGCTTACATTACAGATTACTAAGAATTATACATCAAACTGAATTACCCTTGTCCATTTCCACCTCCCGCTAAGTGCAACTAGAACACTTGCAGAAATCCATATTCAGTCTTACAAAAGAACACAGGTGAATGTTTCCTTTTTCTTTTTTTCAACCAGACAATGCACAAATGTGAAGTTACCCATAAAAAGTACATTGAATTGAGGGTTTGTACTTTACAAAACAGCAAGCTGTATAACAGTTTTCTACATTTTATTCCTGTCAATCAATTGAGCTACTAATAGTCTGTTATTACACACTTTGTTTTTCACAGCATGAAGCATTTGTTCTTTGTCTTTTCCCAAAACATGGTGTCACACGTGGGCTGTGAAGCACAGCTCATTCACCTCTTCTAACACAGAAGTCACAGAAGAGTAACTTAGAGTAAGAACATGGAAGTAGGGAAGAGATACAAGATCTTGGTCTCACTGACACTTCCTGCACTAAAAACAATGTTTCTTCACTTTCTACATATCTCATGGAGGCGCATGTCCCTCACCAAGATCCCTCCCCAAGATAAGGTATAATTCCACAGTAGGAACTTTCCTTGGATGCAGCCTAATGCTGTTTCCCTCTCATTATTTTTATGCTATTACTGAACCCTTAATATCTTTTATTTCCTTGCCAAATCACCGTAGAATAACAGTCACACAGGTTTCATTGCCCTCACATATTTAGCATGTTGATGAAGGTGAGCTGAGTTCATTTAATCAGGGGAGAGGAAAGTAATAAAAACAAGAAGTGTTGCTGGTGGTAGTGTTTCTAACATGCTCAGCATCAAATATCTGTGTTTCTTCAAACTGAGGAAGTAATAAACAGCAAAAACTTCCTCCTTTTTCACAGTGACTACACTGACACATCTTGGGCAAGAATCTAACTACTGTCATTTTTATGGTAGCCAACTCAGAACTGGACCAAGTAACTTGTCTGGTCTTGACCATCAAGTACAAAAAGCACAAGATTCACAGGGTAGCATACATTGTGAGAAACACTGCTGAACAAACACACCCAAAGATAAACAGTTTTTTTGTCCTCCTCTAGTCAGCTTCCTGCTACAAAGCTAAATTCCAAGCCATCCTCTTCATTTTTAAAGTTGCCATTGGGTGGAGATCATTGAGTGTCCAAACCATGACAGCTGTACGAGGACATGACCTCCAAGACACCAAGTAAAAATTGGTTTCATAATATGATGCAGTTATCTACAGCATGGTGACAACTGTAATTCTTTTTCTTTTCACTGCAACTACTTCTGTTAAGAGGCTCAAACTTGTAGCTGTTATCTGAGGGAAAGAGATTCTACAAGCTTTTGGTAGAAAAAGTAATCAGAGGAGTTCATCTGGCTGCCCTGCCACCCATGAATGCAGGCAGTACAACACAAATTTCATAGAGACAGGAGAATGCATCCTTGTAACTTCAAGTTGAAGGAGCTGGGATGCTTGTTTGGTTTGTGTCACAAGATTTTTTTTTATGCCATGCTGGGCACTGCTCTCCCAGATAAATAACTAACAGCAAGGAAAAGTACTGGCTACCTGAAAAAATAACATAAGACGAGCAAAACAGCTGATGATGAGATAATGTTTAAATTGGAGAACCATATAAATAGGTGTCTTCAAACTGACAGCTGTCATGCTTGCCATGTGCCAAACCTAAGCTAAAACCAAGGCCACTAATTAAGCATCTCATATCTTCAAATGCATTCCTGTTAACAGGACACTGGATCTGTCCTATACAGTACTCTTGAGACCAAGCATTACAGCCTACCATGGATGCAATAAAAATAAAATACTTCAAACCATGTCTTTTGAGAAGTGCTATCATAATCTCCAACATATTTTCAAAAATGTATTTAGTGTTTTTGGCTGTATACTAAAAGCTTAGCTTGTTCCATTTTTTTTTAAGGCAAGGGTTTTAGAAAGCTACACAAACAAGAGAAGTTTGTGCCCTCTGAAGATGCCCAACTGCAGTTAAAGATGGTGACATACACGTGCATTTTCATGTGCTGAGGCACAAACCCAGCCTGTCATCAATAGCAGAAGGATTGGTTCCCTGACCAAAACTCAAACCCCCAGAGTTTTGTAACAGCAGTCACAACCCTGTCCTTTCAGGAGACTTGCAATTATTAGACTTCTCTTGTAATTTAGGCACAGAACTTGAAAACAAATGTATGCAGTAAAAACATCCTGGTATCTGGAAAAAAAAAGAACCCACATCGGGATTAAAGACTTATGCCACTTCTCCTACGCCACCATTCATTTGCCCACATCTAAATATTCTATTCCGTTTTGGGCCCCTCAATACAAAATACACTGATAAAAAGAGCACAGGGCCCCAGGATACTGAGGGGCTGAAGATCTTGCCCTGAGGAGTGGCTGAGGAAGCAGGTTCAGCCTAGGGAAGAGATGAGCACAGAGAGAGCCATCACTTGCCTGTCAGTATGCAGGACAGGGTCACCAAGAGCCACAGGGCAATTCAGTAGGGATGGCAGGTGCAGCACAAACTATGAATGGAAATGTGCTCCAGCCTTCTACCAGAAGAAACTATTTCACACAAGGCAGGAGTAACACAGCTTGGCCAAAGTTGTTGTGCACTCTCTCTTCTTGGAAGATTTCAAAACTCAAGTGGACGCAGTCCTGAGAAACTGGGATCTGAACTCAGAGTCAGCCTTGTTCGGGGCTCCCTTCCACCCTGAGCTAAACTGTGATCCCACCCCCTTCTGTTTTATCTGGCCTCTGGAAGGCAAAAGAGGGATCTGCTCCTCCTGCAGCATTACCTTGAGCTTGGCCACTCAATAGCATTCTGAAATACATCACTTCCCAGTTTACAAGTTCTAAAAAGCAGACTTCATTTTCTCTTTCCTAAAAACATGTAAACATAAGTGGCTTTCTTTCCTTTCATAGAAGATTTTGGTGTTTAAAGTCTTCAATAATACATTTCAACATAAAATCCAAACATAATTAGACTATACTTTAGTCAAGTTCTAACTTAAACCTGATGTCTACTTTTCATCAAGTACTAACACTTTCATATGGAACCACCTTCTAAAACTTACAGATTTCTCAATTTGAAGCAACCACCTGAGAGATGAACAGCTCACAACTTTTTTTTTTCCCCTAATGTAGGCAGCACTGGCATTTTCTCACTGCCTGGCTTGTGATGTTCCGATCTGAGCAGTATTAACCAAACCCTTTCCTGACATAGCCTCAAGTTCACCATATGCCATATGCTACTGTGAATTACCTTCACGTCAGAGGTTTTACTGCTCGGCAACACCACAGTCTCACTGAGGTTCCCTGTGCTGTGGCCACAGGCTCTAAACATCCCCCGGGGAATACCTGTGTCCCCAAGAAGCCAGCATGCACTAGATAATCATCACTCATGGGAGACTCGCACCACACTGGGGAGCAATAGCTATGGGGAGCGCTGTAGCAGAGTGTTGTCAAGCCCTTCCCTTTCATCTTCCTCCTCTATCACGTCCAGAAAACGCGAGCACAGAGCAAGCCCACTGCTGTAGAGGAGTCCAAGCCACTCACACATGCCAGGCGCCCTTAGGAGGATGCTTTGGGCCAGGCAGCCTCCCTCTGCTCCGGGCGCAGGCTGTTACTCATTCACACGGGCGCTGCTGTTTGTCAACACGGCTCGGGCGCCGCTCCGCCAGCAGGCTGGGGCGGACGCGGGACGGGAAGGCGGCTGCGGGACACGCTCTTCCCTCCTCGACAGAAAAACCCCTGGCCCCCAGCCGGGCCCCGGTTCCCCCCCCGCCCGCTCGGGTGTCGCGCTTACCGCGGGGCCGGGCACTCGAGGTGCGGGGCGGGCGGCGGGCTCCAGGCGGGCGCGGCACCGCCGCCCTCCCGGGGATGCTGCTCCTTCTTCTTGGGGCGCCAGTGCGGGAACGCGGGGCGCCGCTTGGGCGCGGCGGCGGCGGAGGGGCGGCGGCGGGGGGCAGCGGCGGCCGCCGGCCCCTCGGTCTCCGAGTCCTCCGACTCGCTGCGGCCGAAGAGGCGCTGGAAGCGGCCGCGCCGCGCCATGCGGGGCTCTGCGGGGCTCTGCGCGGGGATCTCCCGCCGGCAGCGGCAGCGGGGGGAGCGCGGCGCTCTCGGGCTCTCCGCGGGCATGGACGGGGCGGCGGTGGCAGCCGCCCGCCCCGCTGTATGCGTTTAATAAGGCGATTCCCTGCCTGCCTCCCTGCCCACCGCCGGACGCGTCGGTCCCTCCCCGCGGAGCGAGCCGCGCCGCGGCAGGCGGGCGGGCGGGCTCCCCGCCGCTCGCACAGGAAGGGAGCGGCCCACGTGTGATCCGTGCCCAGGTGCGCATTAGGGGCCATTATCTTGTTGTTGTTGTTTTCTGCTAACCCTGAGGTGTGCCCCGCGCCCCGGACACTTGTGCGAGGCGCGGACAAAGAAAGGCTGCGCGCCGCGCCGGGGGCTCCGCATCCTCCCGCGGCCGCCCCCCAGCCCCTCCTCGTTTAAGGCGAAAAACATGAATAAAGAAAGTCAGCTGTACAGCCGAGGGGCTCGGGAGCCAACACACCCCAAACCTCGCAGCGCTGCTTTTTGTCTCGGTGCCCGCCACATTAATTAATTAGCTGCTTATCCCTCTCCCTGGGAATAAATTGGCTCTGCCCGCCCTGCTGGCTCGGTGTCCCGCCGAGGAGGATGAGGAGGGGTTCCCTAGGGAGGCAGAGCCGCTGCCGCGGGAAGGCTCAGGCTCAGACACCTTGCAGCGGGGAGGATCAATCGTGTCGGGTGCTATCGTGACCAGCTCCTGCCAGGACCTGGCCGTCCCATGTGTTCCTCGGTGCTTTTAGGAATCTTCTCTTAACTGACCCTGAGGTCCAGCTTTCCTTAGGAAATGCTGCTGTGCGCTGACGGATACCGTCTGTCCTAAATTGTGTCAACAAACACGCATTCGTCTGATGTAAGGAGCTTTTAGGGCTCTTGTGGTTTTGGTTCTGATTTTTGCTTGTTACTGATGCAACATAGATATTATAATTCTCTGCTAAAAATACTAAAGATGACATAATAAAAATGTTGGAAGCCTGTATTCTGGAAAAAAATTAAATTCTGCATTATGCAATGGTCATAATCTGCCAATAGTTGACAAACACCACATAAATTGATGGATATGAATTAATGGTGGGTTTTCTATGGCAGAAAGAAAAGGAGGTGAACAAGGCAGGGGAACACAAAATATACAGAAGTTGGCTGAGCAGCTAAGTTTTACCTTTGCCACTATTTTACCTCAAGCAATATGTACACTTGTTTGGGGAGAAGATTCAATTATTTTGACTTGTATTTTGTTACTGATTAACTAAACAGATTAACCTAAAAATAAAGTTATTTTCCCCAAAATTAAGTATGTGTTATGCCAAAATTGAGCAGAACTGGAAAGAAACATAGTTGTACTCTCAGGAACTGCATAAGGGATTGAGAATAAAAGTCAGTTTCAGTAAAGCAAGCTATATAAGCATGAAAATTGTAGAATCACAAAACACTTTAAATGGGAAGGGACCTCTGAAAGTTGTCTAGTGCAGCCCCCTGCTCAAGCAGAATCAGCAAGAGCAGGCTATTCAGGACTATATCCATTTGGATTTTAAGTATTTCTGAGGACAGAGACAGGAGACCTGATGGCAGGTAGATGCTGTCCCTTATGGATGGCTAGCAACAAAGCAGAAAGTCCTGCCTGCTATAGCTGGATAGGATTTTTGGACACTGGGTAGACACTGTAAAGATTCAAATAACTATACCTCTTCTCTTACTTTAGCCTAAAATTATTCCTTCCTATTTCCTTGACTAAAGAACCATGGCATTTTCTGACATTCTTCATTTCTGAAGAAGCCAGATAAATACATTACCATGTCTGTGTGCCACATTTCCATTTAAGTGTCAGTTATAATTGGGATTCTGCTGTGCCAGAACAAAGGTAAATTAATTGGTGTTGGTGAACCACTTCCCCTAAACAGCACTGGAGAGAAAGGAGTCTTGGCCACTGCAGTCGTGGTGTGTCTTCTCACTGCCACTCTACCCATTAGATATTTTGGGTTGGTAGCAGACCAGGCACATGAGGGTATGTTCAGCAGAGCTGTGCTACTTCATTCCACTTAAAAGGAAAAAAAAAAAAAAAAAAAAGAAGAAAAAAAAAAAGTGTTTGGCCTGAAAACATACAGTTTAAATGACATAGAGAAAAGGGAGAAATGCAAGGCGTGCATTTTTTTCACGTCCTTTTAGATTATTTTGGCAGGGTCTAGATTAGTATCAGCACCCTAGAGTATCTAGAAAATGTGCAGAGTTCCATAAGTCTCTGGAGAGACACATATAAGAAATGTGCATTCCACATAACCCTTGAGGTATCCAGCATTTGTGCTTCAGTGCTGACATATCCTAAAAAATCCTGATACACAAACTTCAGTGAAGGGGTTTGGTTGTTTTGGTTGTTTTCCAAACTTTGGCCAAAATTAAAGTCTGGTTGTTAAATATGGCAGTGTCAGAAAAATGAGTGATTTCAATCCAAACAGATCTGTCAAGGCCCTGTACTTTTAGTTGTACCTGTCTTACATAGAAGGTTTGGACCTCAAGTCAGGAAAGGCATTTTTAAGGCCATTAGTTAAGATAGACATTCATAAGAATTAGCCAGTCATTCAGGAAACTTTAAATGATGGTCATGTTTATGTCAGCAGCCAGTTTATGTCAGTTTAATCCAGACACATGCAACAGAACAAGTCAGTCTAGCTTTATCAGAACCAACACAATTTTGCAACAGTTCATAGTACTTCATACCTTAGAAAGGTATTATGCAACAAATTATCCTTCTCCTGTTTGCTATCATTCCAGCAAGGTGAAAAAGAAGATGATTGAGTATCTAGATTAGACTTCACCATACTCAATAGTCTTGCTTGACTGCAAACTGTGAAATTTAAAAAACAACCAAAAAACCCCTAAACCTGAAACATTTAAGCTAATATTTGAGTTACAAAGATAATCCAGTAAATACAGGCTCAAAATTTTTGAAGGTGTTATAGAAATCAGCTAACACACAGGTTGAGATAATACTATTAAATCAAATCATTGATTCTCCCTTTTTATTGTTTCAAAACAGAAACAAGCTCTGTTCTAATGTAAAACTATTCCAATATATGGCACAATAGCTCTGAAACAAACAAACCTCCAATATAAAGCCTGTACACAAATTACAGAAAAATATTAATGGATTAATCTCATAAACTCTCTCATCAAATATCTTTTCTTCTTTTCCAATAAAACAGAGGTGTCAAATCTCCTTCAAAAATGGTGCATGCATGCAAACATTTGAGATTCAGAAAATTCACTGCCAGAATATATAAAGACTGTTTTGGATTTCCACACATTGGAGTTGGTGGTAAAAGAGCAATAAAGTACACAGGGGACAAAATCCTCCCTGTGTCCCACATAAAACACGTAAGTCCCAAACTATGGTCCTGAAATCCCACATTCATTTGACACCTAACCCTGTGGGCACTTAAATTCCAGGGTTGCCTCCCTGTTTGTCTTGAAAGTGCCTCAGGTTCTTAGGGATTCACTTCCCCACATGCTCAGAGTTGCCTCAGTCTTCACAGGTGCCTGCTTCTTGCCCAAGTCTGACAAGGAGCTAAAAACTGGGTATGGCTTGGCCTGAATCTGCTGGGACTCCCTGTGGTTGCATATTTGGATCTTAATTAACTCATGCTCTAACAGCAGGCTCCACACAAAATGCCATATTGGCTTCTATTTTTTTCCAGGAGTTCCAGGTGTGATGTAGAAATAGTGATGGAAATGGTAGCCTTAATTTGGGAAAATCCTACCTACAAGAACACATTCTATCTCACAGTCATGTCACCACTAATGTTTGTTTTCTGGCCCAAAAAGGGACTAGAGGTTTCCTGGCCACACCTGAAAAGAGGAGTGAGTCCCATTCCATGCCTTGGAAAAAAAAAAAAGGACATAAATTAATGTCCTCAGTAAATTATCAGGTGGGATACACACATGGTGGGATGTGGGTGATCACCCCTGGGGATTAAAGACAGCCTTGAAAAAGCAACTAAATATTAGGATCAGGAAGAGCCAAGGCTAGGAACTAAATTAGTTCAGGAACATGGCAGCCAGAATTGTAGCAAGAGTAATATGTGGAAAGCCAGGGAAGCAAAGAGACCCTTAAAAAAATAGCAGGGCAAACCCCTTAAAGGTGAGCAATTCCATGTCACAGGGGAGGACTCGGAAAAATGGCGAGAGCTTGACTGAGAGTGGGACTAAGAAATCTGGAAGCAAGGGGCAGTGATGTGGGCTTCAACCAAGCAGTAAATTTGGAAGTCAAGCTTTTCTGGGATTGCCTTATGTACCTGGTAGGTGGGGCAAGCCATCACCCAGGCTCCAAGGGCGGTCATTATTGGCGTGCCAGTTGCTGTGACTTACCCTGCTCTGTCTGGCAGCTGCATGCCTGGATTGCCTGGGGAGACACACAGGGGAGCACACAGGCCCTGGAGCTCAAGTAGATGGAAGCACCTCAGGCTCTGAGGGTATTTTGGAGTGGGAGTGAATTTACATAACCTCATGCTCCGAATTTGATCTTGTACACACTGTGTGATTACTTCAGGCAGCAATTTATATTTCCATGTTGGATGCTTTTGGTCTTATTTTAAGTTGTCTGGTTCCCATCGTGGTTCAATTTGGGATCCTTGGTATTTAGGTTCATCTGTGAGCTAATACCTCTCTTGAAGGCATGCAATGTCCATCTCCTAGGTGCTAATTATTGATCAGATAAGTAAAAAATGGATGTGACTTAATTTATAGCCCACTTATTCATGAATAGTTCTGCCAAACCCTTTGATACTCTAAGATTTTTATTCTGTAAACTAAGCATTCCACAGCAGATAGGTGGGGATAGAATTTTTTATGGGAAATTAGCATGTTCAATTAATCAATTCAATATTAGCATGGTTTCTTCTTATTATTACTTTTGCTGGAACATGCCAAAAATTTATCTGAGCCTTTATCTGAGTTGCTTGTATATTTGCATA